ACTACTGCAGGGGAAGAGTTACAACATGGTAAATTATTACGTAAGAGCACAATCTACCAAAAAGCATATACTTCAATCACAAAGATCTACGAGCAACCGAGCCAAAAAAGATCAGAATGCTTGCACAAACCAAAGACGAACGTTGGCAAAGGAATAGGATCGCCCACCAATACTCCCAACTAAATTCAGTGTTTAAACATGCCGAGACTGAGCAACCAAATTTAGGAGGAGGCAACGAAAGGACTCAAACAATTCCTCCGCTCGCAGTAAAGAGGCAGAAACACAAGGCAATCAAGGAACTGCAATCGCAACAGCAAACCAAAGCATTTAGGAGAAAGAGAACCTCACTCCACAAGGACCAGAGAAGCAACACCTAAAAGCATCAGAGACCTAACTACACATCCTCAACACAAGGACCTGGAACTACCTAAACTTACTGCCAGAACAAGAACAACACAAACATCTTGGTAGAGCAAGACCGAACAAGAGCTTGCAGACGACGTACGCCAAATCCTGCATCGTTAAAGAAAAAGGGTAGATACAATACCCAACTAGACATACCCCTGCAAAGACCTTAATTCACCCTCACAACATTAGCTGCATGAGCTCAGATTTCGACAGCAACTTAACCCAAACCGTGGCACAAGGACAATGAGAGGAAGAGACCACCGTTACACGAATCACAACAGGCGAGGAGAGGGGGAGAGAAAAAGACACCAACCCCGATGAGTCGAGGTCCCGAATGTCCTCAAACTACATAGCGCAACACCTCCATAGACCAAAAGCCAACGACAAGGCAAAGCCAGGAAGCTACAGATCCCAAACAACAAACAAGGCACATAGACAGAGATAACAACCACCAGGTTTCGACAAGAACAATCCAGAGAAGAAGAAGAACCTCATAACAGTAAGGAGAAGGTTGAAACCAAAGCTACCACCCAAACCAAAACCATGGCAACGAGATGAGACGGCGCAGAGAGATACACCAGATCAGAGACAAGAGGGGAAAGGGAAGCTAACATACCAAAGAAACTCGTCCTCAGTTTCGCCGGAAGCAGCACCTTAACCGCAACCCACCAAGGCCAAGACAGACCTATCGCAACTGAGCTCGAGGTTGAAATCGAGGAGGAACTTGGAGGAGCAAAATCAGAGCGAGAGGAGGACACCACACTCGCCACCCGACAGAAGCTCCAACCACGAAACACATAGATCCATTACCGACGAGCCACTCAACACATGACCCCAAATGAAGACTAGATCTACTCTGAAATTGCTAGGGAAAATCAAATCGAAGAAGTGCCGCATACATAAGAACAAAGAGGGTTCCCTCTCCCGGCGGCGGTGAGAAATACTGGTCACCGGAGAGAGAGATCGAGAAAATTTGTCTAGTCGCCTTCTAGGATTTTTTGGGAAAGAGACTGCGCCGCTCAAAGGCTGGATTGATAAAATTTTATAGTAATAACTTTTTAGTTGTCGTGCTAAGAATTACATAATCCTTTGACATGGAATGATATATGAGAGTCCGAAGTTGTATTGGATTATAGCGTATAATCCTTTTTCATTTCAAATTTACCGATATATTCGTTCAGTTAATCATAAAAGTAAAAATTATTTAGTGTATCATCAGAGTAATTAAATTAAACAAACTTAATTATTTTCATTTGCCATATACATTTGTAGTCGCATATTTTATACTGTGTTTGCAAATGTTAAGTTCAATGGAATTTTTATATCGTGTTTTCAAATGTTAAATCATGGAATGGCACAAAATAACGTGAGAGTATGAATACTATATACGACAAAAAAGTATCAATACTATACATAGCCATTTAAAATTTTTTAGTTACATGCACATTGTAAATGTAATATTTCCATACTGTATGTTTTCAGATTGTTAATTAATCATAATTATATATTTCACATACTGAAATTAGTAGTTAAAATACCATGTACTATGATCATCAATCCGTATTTAAGATACAGTTAAGATACAGAACTTCTTAAAATTCGGTACAAAGTACAAAAGTATGATCATCAATCAATATTTATTTTTTTGTCGTCATCAATCAATATTTAAATTTGGTTTTTGTGTATAGTAAATCAGCATAATTGTATTAAAAGAAAGCGAAGCTAAAACCAAATGAATGGTAACCTCAGAAAACAAAAAAATATATATATGAATATGATATATCCAAATGATGACCAAAGTGTGGTCATGAACCTACCAAAAGTAACCGATGCGTCGATCCAAAAATATACACGACAAGTAAATAATTCATGTGTCACTCTAAAAATTATTTATTTTATCACTTTTACTATTCAATTTTCTTCAACATAAACTAGAGAAATGATGTTAAAACTTTCACGTGTCAAAATAAATTCCAGAGGCATAGCTAAGTAGATTACTACGAATCCTGTTACTATGGACTACTTCTGACACGTGACGTAACATTTTTTTCTTCACTCTTTTAAGTTTTAATAAAAAGTAGTACTTGAATATTAATATAGGACCGCTACATCGTAATCTGTATAGATCACGCCCAACAAAACCAACAAAATATCAATATCTAACGGCTATGAATTTACTCTCGTATTGAAATGAAATAATTTAACCTTTTTGTAGGTGTATTGGGTACACAATAGAGAATTTAACAATC